CCCAGGGCCTGCCTCGTGCTGACCAACCTCCCCCAGACACGCATCACCCCCGGGCGGGGAAGCCCAGAGAAGTGTGTGGCTGGTGCTGGCTACACCGGAGGCGGCCTTGGGCCCTACACCAGGGCAAGGATGGAGAAGCGAGAGGCTCCTGTCAGATGGGGCGCTGGGGAGAGATGGGGAAGAACTCGGTGAAGCAGGGGAGCTGTAGCCTGGGCTCCAGGTTGGCTGGCCCAGCTAGGTTCAGAGACCGCAAGGGAGGGGCGTTGTGGAGAGCCCGGGCCACGTGCTCTGGCCGACGCAGGGACGCAGGCTGGCAGCGGAGCTGTGGCGAGTCTCGTACTGAAGGAGCAAGCTGAGACGCTACCGAGGATCAGAGCAGCTGAAGAGCTCCTAGGCAGCCGGGGTGGGAAAGGCGAGGACCCGGGTTCAAGGCGAAAGGAGCTGGCCTCAACGGAATTGGAGACAAAGGGGATACTGGGCACTTGTAACCACCAGAAGCGGAAGGCCATGGCCCCAGGAGACACGAGGATCAGCCACCTATGGCCACCAGAGAGAACAGCAGTGGGAGGAGTTTGTGACGCGTTTCCGATTGACAGCCAGAGGCTGGCACTGGATGGATCACGCAGGAACGGCCCGGTTCTGCTCAGCTTGCATTGGAAGACAGGGCCGTGGGCCAGAGGGCCAGCGCTGTGACTCACTATGGCAGCGATGGATGGTCTCTCAAGATCCAGCCGTCCCAAAGGAACGGAAAGACACAGGACACACGTGGACATGGCAACTTGGCCAGGCTGTAGGACCGTACCCAGAGAAGGGCAGCCCTGCTGGAGATTCAGTGCGGCTGATTCCCCTGAGAACAGTCTGCACAGAGCAGGGGCAAAGCAGCCAGGTGCCCCGCCCCAGAGCCGAGCTGGCCGGAAGCTGCGTGGCAGGGTGCGTGGCCGAGGCGATCTAGCAGCGCTGGTGACAGCCAGGAGGTGACTTCGGAAGCCCACTAGAGAACGTCCACGTGATCTGCTTGGAGAGCCTCCCTGTCCCACCCCCGAGGGAGCCAGAACGTTCTGGAAGTGACCCCCTGGCCCAGGACGTGGCTGGACAATGTGGTTGGCCTTCACCTCAGCAGAAGGGGACCAATGTCTGGGACCCTGGTTAGAACCGTCAGGGCTGGGGGAGGGAAGGGTAAAAGGAGGGAAGACGGGAGCACTCCGCAGAAAACAGCAGGTGGAACGTAAGTGGCTAGA